GGGACCTCCCAGGTGGAAATTAACAATCATCTCGCCTCCCCGCCCCCCTTTATTTTTCATCTATAGTATCTAGATAGCAATGATTGCCTCCCTACGTGGTCTGCGAGGTGAAGTACACGCATCGCCATCTTAATGCGAAAGCATTAACAGTCCCATGGAGCGAACCGGCGTTATTAGCTTTTGAAGCCGCGCCAAACGTCACCTAAATTCCCCTGTCTCAGGGAGCGAAGCCTGTAGTCTGTGGCAGATGGAAAACTCTGATTGGCTGGCGCGCGGTAGTTCCAAGGAAAGCCACCCCACAGAGAAGCCCTCTCCATGGCGCAGCGGCCCGGCCGCCGGTAAGAAGGAGAGGGTGGCAGAGCCCACCTGGGCAGTCTCCGCAGAGGACGCTCGGCCGGGCTCAGCGCGGCGCACAGCTTGTGGGAATACGCTACGTGTACGAATGCTTTCGCATTCCTACACGTTAGCAGTCTTAAGTGCCTTTGTAGTTTCTATTGCCGAAATTCATTGAAGGCTACTGTCTAAACCCACATTTTCTATCAGTCAACGGGATAAGTTAATTAATCCGATGAAGACAACGCGCCGTGTCTGTCGGAATAATTCGAAGACCCGCTATAGCATCGCAACCTAGTTGGCGCCACTTTTAAAACACTTAAACACTCGCAGTGCCTGTTTTGCGATTTAACTTTATCAGCATATTCTTGGTATTGCATGATATTTTCTGGAGTTAAACACAAGATTTAATCACTTCATCATTTCCTGCGGGACTTACTTTAGCGGAAAATACTAAATGTGCAATTGAGGAGCAACAGGGAGTTTCATTTGTTGGCACCTTAGACGAAGACATCTCCTGGAGCGACAAATAGCGTCGGTTCTTCTCTCATAACACGGTGTCTTCGACAAGGTGCCCATGCCTTGCGGCAGCGGCGTATACCCGAGTGGCGCATTCAGTCGATTTGTATTTGTTCCCGAGGGAAACAAAGGTTATTCTGCAGGAATTTTGCTTTAGATTTACTTCCCGGTTGATGCAAAGCGTGTTTGGTGGCGCGTATATGATGACTGGATTACTCATTGCACCCTTGTGGCTCGTCTTCCGCAGCCGGACAAACTAATGAAAATGCGGAGGTGGACAGCCGTTGGCTCCCGGAGGAGCGTCTTATGCACACGCTGGCGGTTTCGTCGTGAACTCGCCAAAAGCGTGCAAAGACGTTTCCTTCGAGCACACCGCGAGAGCACGGCCGGGCCAGCTCGTGTGGCCCCTCTTTAGGCGGCAGGCGTTCCCTTTCGGACTTATAAACGCCGAAGAACACCCGCGAGAGGAGAAGAAAAAAAAAATGCGCTTGAACCTCCCTTGCCGAGGTGTCGACAGAAGCGCGCGTTCTCCTCGTTTGAAGGGACGGGAAAAGAAATGGCCGCGCTGCTAAAATAACCCGGCTTCATAACTCTTTGTCGTTCGCTCGGCGTTCTCGAAGGCTGGTAATTGGTGGACCCCGTCCCGGGCTCTGGCAATGCCGAGAGCGGGGGGACGGCCAACGGGGATGGAAACGGTGACGACGTCGCTCCGAAACAGACACCGGGTGGAGAGACAGGCTCCTGCTGGGAACCGATGCGCGCCGACGAAAGAGAACGATAAATACCGGGGCCGACATAATTTACAAATTGGCGGCGCTTGTCGTGGCTTTCGCTACGACGAATTCTTAGGTTCCGCGCGGAGCGGACCGGGCGGCGAGAGGTCCCGACGGACGCGCAGCGAGCGAGCGGCAGCCCTCTCGGGCGAGCGAACCCCCCGCATTTAGGGCCCTGGTGAGAGGCAGAGAGCCTTTCTGTCGTCCCAGGGCCCCAGGGATGCCCGGTCCCACCGCGTTGACCTCCGCCCCCGGCCGTCACCGGGAGGTCGCCCATTTGGAACTGCTTTCGCAAACGCAATATGAATTGCATCGGCCGCGTCTGCCCGCTGGGGGCCCCGCGCGGGCCCCGTGAGCGGATACCTGAGGAGGAGCGGCCGGGGTGGCCGGCGATTGAGTTGCACGGCTCTGGCAGCAGCGGGGGATGTTCGACGAGTGGGATGGATGTCTTGCCGGTCGGAGTTTACGATCAGCACGCGGGACCACCCGTGAGCTGGTCGGCCTGTGTGGCGATTGGCTACCGCGCTTGACAGGGCGGAGGGGACGGCCTCGCAGCGTGCTGTCTCGTGGCTGCGCGCGGGACCCGCTGGCGTGAGCCGCGCTGCGGGCGCGCTCGCTTTGAGCTGGGCCCCGGCGTTGTTACACCCGGCCGCTGAAGAGCGATCGCGAATCCACGCTTGGCTGCTTCGCGATGGATCCGCCGCCGGCCTGATGGGGAATGGTCGTGGCCAATTCCGTGCCGCGATTCCCAGACCGTGCGGGTCTTTCTTTTGTGTTCCGCTGCGGTAAATAAAGGCAACCAGCGCCACGTACTTCGGGGGCATCGATTTTGCTTTGTTTCGGTGGGTTCTTTCGTGCGCTGTTCTTGATTTGCTCGGAGGCTGCCACGTAATGCGTGGTATTGTGACGTGTGTGCGTGTTTCGCCGCTTTTTCTTTCTTTTTCCTTGGCCGTCAAGCGCGTTCTCCGATGAAAAAGTTTATGAAACACTTTTTTTTTTTTTTTCTTTTCTAGTAGGTTTCAGTAGGATGCATCCTTGAAGGTACTATTTCTCTAGATGTGCTGCTGGCACAGTGTTTATGCCCGAGAGGGGCGTCGAAGCGTTAGAAGTCAATGGAACATACAACTAGCCAACCAATGGAACCCGAATGAAACGTGCTGTGACAACACAGTCGTCTGGCAAATACAAAGAAACTAATTCGTATAAGTGTTGACAAATCACTTTGGCCGCGAGTGTAAGCGGGCTGAAGACACGGGTTTGCTCAGGCTCGTTGTTGTCGGAGAGCTTTCTACAACAGTCCCTTTAATACAATCTAGATTGCTTATCTGGATGAGTCGCATTGGCAGTATGACCGGTTACCATGTGCTTAGTGTTCAACGTGTTACGCAGTTGGGACAAGCGAACGACAGAGTAACACGCGACAGAGTAACGCGCTTCTAGATACATCCATTCATTTCATACAACAGCAAAACATTGCCTAAACGTCCCCAAAATATATAGCCTAGCTCTCTAAGCCTCCTTACGTTTAAAGATATATTCATTACAGAAACGTTCTTTGAAACGATGAGAACAGCGCACACAAAAGGCGGCCGCGAAAGAATGGAGAACACACACAGCGCTGTCTTGCAACTCGAGTACAAGACATCGCTGTGTGTGTTCTTTCGTTCGCAGTCGTCTTTTGTATACGCTGTTCTCATCGTTTGAAAGCATGCTCCACCAACTATATCAAGCTTCGTTGTTAACAAGTTTCATTACAGGAAGTTTGTAATTCTCCTCGTTGTCCTTTAGATGATACCTAGTTATCAGCTTCCAACTATCTATTTTTTTTTTTTTTTTTTTGCCTGACGTTGATTCTTAAAAGGATTGTCCGGTAAACAGATCAGCATAATATACGAATTTTCAGTTCTCCGCCACACAAGTAGGTCATTTTTAAACAGGGCCCAACTGTTCAGATTGCGCCTGCAAAACACACAGCCTTTTCGTTGGCAACAGTGGAAGCTCTGACTTAAGATCACGCAAAAAGAGCCACGACAGCTCTTGACTACTGTCTCAGTAAAATAACTCGTTCTAAGAAAAACAAGATTTACGCTACTGAGGGCAGCTCAATTCTTCGACTATGGTTTCTGTACGCACCGTCGACCATGTTGATCAAAACCGGGAATAAGTCAACGCCCGCGACTCTGACGTTACCATGCCTGATGTGACGTCACTACACGACCAGACATGCATACTTGCGAAATTTGACGTGAAGTTTCGTATTGACGTTCATATTTGATATACCAAATGTTCGGGCGTTTTTTAAAGAAATAAATATTACATGCTACTATATTTAGGCCCCCTCTACGTGACCAGTGCAAAACTTTAGTTACTTCCGGATATCACCGGACAATCCCTTCACAATTATATACAACCGTGAGTGTTGCACACGTCTGATCATTTTTACAGCACATGCGGCGTCAGAGCGGACAGGAGTGAAACTCTGGTTGAAAAAACCCCGAGACTGTGGGTAAACGACACAACACTCAAAAGCCTTCCGATTCCCTTTAGAATAGGCGTTGTTCTTCAATAATCTACCGCCATTGGGGCTTGTGCGCTATCAATGCCATCATTATGCTGCAATTCGCTCTTTCTCGCGTGATTTGAAACCTGGTGGCGCCAGTGTGCAAACAGCCCCCCCCCCCCCCCCCCCCCTTCCCACCGCAACCACTTCCGGTGTTGAACTACACGGCGGGTTTCGTAGTATTTGCGGAATCAAATATATACTCTATCTTCTGGAAATGGCCACTTATAGCACCGTCAGACCAATTCACTGTTATGATAAAATAATGATGAGTAAAAAATTAGGAACTATACGTGAACCGGAAGTGGGCCGAGGCTACCCAATAGATGGCGCCAAAAGGGGGCGAATAAAAGGCGACATTCGTTCATTGGAGCAGAAAACACGTAGTAAGACCAGTCTGCACTGCACGTGACAACGCTCAATTTCGCGTGGTCCCATTTTCATGCGATCACTAACGCCCCTTTGAATTTGAAGAGCAAGTGTTTAAGGTGCACCGACAAGCAAAACGGCGAGTATCGCGGCACGTGTAGCAAAAAGTGAAGTTAATGACACGATGAAGATAATCTCGCCGAAGATGTTCCGCTGGAAGGTTTTGAGAGCCCAAGAAGGCACGCGCACCGCTGCTCGTATTTCTTCTGGTTATGTCTGTAAATTCCCGACGCCGCCTGATTTGCTCCGATGGTGTCGTACAATTCGCAATTGTATACACTTCAAAAATGTTGAAATCGATTTTTTTTTATTATTTCTTTTGTCGGGATTTTGTCTAGAATCCACATGTATCGCTAACAGCCACTCTTCTCTGCCTCTTCCCCAAGGTGGCAAACGATCGGACTACCTGAATGGTAAATGTCTCATCGGCCAGGAGGTTTTCGACCATGCGGCTACATGGCCGTACGACCAGTGCACCAACTGCGAATGCCAGGTATGTCCTAGTTGTCGGCTATAAGTAGACCTGACTGATAGCACGTGCCACCGAAACAACCCTCTGCGTGGATATTTATCGCTGGGTTAGGGCACTGCTGACGGTCAGTGTAATCTTGTGAACATACTTTTCGTATATATTTTGAAGAAAAGCAGTGGTTTCAAAATAGAATGCAACTCTATTAGAGACTGTCATGCAATCTTGCATGTAACTCTAGTAGAATAAAAAATGCGGTGGCAGTTGAAGCGACAAACCATATCGCAGTGATATCGACAAACAAGGAAGTTACAGTGGCTTCGGAAAGTTTGCGAGGAATCCATGTACCACCACGTGCATTAAATTCGCATCGCTGATGAAATAACCTCGAAATTACAAATTTGGAAAATAATCGTAAACTACAAAACATTACAAAATGTGCGCATATTTCGGTGCTTTGGACTAGGGCTGGGCACTTAATCGATTAATCTACCTATTAATCGATAAATGCTTTAATCGCAATTAATTTTTAAGCGATTAAATTTTGGCTAAAAATCAAGTAAAGATGCAACGCTTTCACCACGCAGACGAGGACGTGTACACCTGTATGGAGCTAAACTTTAGGTGAAATTTGGACTTAAAGTAAACTGTAAGAGCGAGTTTTGTAACTCCAAACATGTGAAGGTTATTCACGTCTCCTGCTCGTTGCTCGCCCTCTCACGGCGGAAACGGGAAGCGCTCTTGTGAGGATCCCCCGGTTCTCCTGTTCAGCAGGCACGGCGGAACTGCTTGAAAATCATGACTCGCGGAATGTCATTTTTGAATGCAAACAACATTCTCCATTGTCCCAGTGTAGTGCTGCAGCCGGTATGAGATTGTGCATTACTATATTCGCGACTCCAGCAAAACGGCCGCCACCAAGCGGGAAAACCGGGAACCAGCTGGACCAGGTCCGCGTCTCTGGTGGCTTTCGCGGACATGTGTTGTCGGCGCGGTGGCGAACAATGTAATTTGACGAAGGTCCGAAAATTTCTTAAGTTTGCATGAGTGTTTATTAGTATGGTGAAGACTCAGTAGATTGTTTCCTTCCATCACGTGCATGAAAGCCCGTTTACTCCACAACACACGGTCGCGTGCTTTCGATTTCCTGGATGGGGAGGAATCACGGAAAAAAGTTTTGATTTTTTGTCTGTCTCGAATCACATTCAAAGTGACGACTACTTGGTAACTGATAAGTGGTTTCTTTATAAGGATGTAGAACAGTGGTCTGAGGACGACAGACGACGTGTTTCACTGGAGGGAACACCAATGTTGCAGTCAAGTGAATGAGAAGGTTCGATAGATGCTTTTCTTGAGTTTGGTTGTGTTCGATTAGCTCCAAGTTAGAGCCACCCACGCCGGTCGGTGCGTTGGCTATTCATCTTGACTGCTTTTCGCCGAAAAAGCCTCTGGACCACACTGAAGGAGTTGGGCTGATTTTGCAATTACTTGATTCAGGAAAACCTGCTCGCTGCATACGATTAATGATTGAAATCATCTGGTTTCAAAAGGTGAGGGACGCGTCTCGCAATGTTAGAAGCTGTCACGGCATTATGATCTATCGCGCCTCCAATATTTATATTACAACCCCGTCGAAGCCAGCAGCAATATACGTCTACATATAGCTCAGGTTGTCTGGCTACAAAAATACTCAATTTCTTCGTTCAGGATTCGAAGTCAAGTTCAATGCAGAGAGGTTCTGCGTGAATCTCCGGTGAAGACTCTCTTCAGTTTGTCCGCATTCGTGTCCGTGCTAGCGGTTAGAATCATTTGGCTAAGTTTAAGTAGTAGCTCTCTGTCTGTCAAATATACTTTTATTCAGCAGTTCACCTAATAGCTAGTCAACTAAGCTCATATTTCAACCCGAAGAATATACTAATATCGCTTCAGTGGGACCATAGCACGTAATATAATACATAACCCGGTCGTCAAAATGACTTCTCGATTGCTACTAAAACATTAATTGAAATACTAGTATCAGCTGCTTAGTGGGGCGCCAGCGGGTTAACATGCTCCCTGGCTCGAGAAGCGCTTGCTTAATTTTCGTAATTCCCTGCAGCATGTGTTGTTGACCGAGCAGACGACTGGAACTCTTTCTTAAACGCGGATACGCACAAAAGCTCGATTTCGCGGACAGATAAGTCGCATTGTCGAGGCATGCGAGTTAGCTGAAAATTACTCTCGGTGGAACAATTCTGTAGTCATCGCCGCTTTCCTTAGCTGATCAAAACTGATTAGAGTCTATTACCGTCTCTTCGGAGCCCATAGTTTCGGTTTTGAAGGAAATCTCCTAAACGAAAGTTTGACAGGAAAATAACAAAAACACCGGGAAAACGAAACTATGGTCTGCAAGTTCATGCGCACCGGCTACACTTAACCGTCTCAGTTCAAGAACCTATAAAATTGGGCATTAAACAAAAGAAAATCGTTTAAATTGAATGCGCCACCCGTTCAGGCGGCCCGGCCGGGCCGACGCGACCTGGACCCAGCCGCCATGTTTATTTGGTGGTGGCGCCCCCTATAGGTCGCTGGATTCGCGAATAGAGAGTTTTAGTATTGAATATAAAAGCAAACGCAAGCGCCTTGCGTTTGTGTTAGAGTTAAGCCTAGCCCACATGGCGCGTTTTTTAGCGCGTCTAGACGCGCGTCTCGGCTTGGCGCGCGCGCTAAGCAGGACGCGTGCGCCCAGTCAAACCACACGCAGCGCTACCGGGCAGCGCTTCGCGTCTGCGTTTCCGAAGCGTCTGCCCAATGTAGCCAGACGCGCTTAAGCAACAGAATCTAATTTTAAATAGAAATTGCGCGGTAAGTGATGGCTACATGCCGTAATATTTAGTTTTAGTAATAGTAAGCACTCATTTTTATTACAGCAATCGCAATGAAGCTCAATTTAACTAATTTTCATCCTTTTTAGTGCGTACGCTTCATCCACGTTTTGATACGCCATTGGCATCACCATCGCCCGCGCCAAAACATTCACAGCTGGCCGCTGGCCGCTACAGAGGTTACGTTGTTGCGGTTGCTGCCGGTAGTATTAATTTTGTACCTTTGTCTCTCGGTGTCCTTGTATTCTTTACACTTGGCCTGCCAGAGTGCAGGACGCTTTTGTACTTCGCTAGGTCCTCTCTGTTCCGCTGAAGCAGCGTCAGCCTCTCCAGCTGGAGCAGGGAGGATTCCCTGGACTTTTGTAAGGTATGGTAAACTGATATCCGCGGGCGGAAAGACGTAACTACCCATGCTCGCCCTGCTGCTAGCGTTGGCAGGGCCTAAAAGCCTTTTTTTATTTAAGGCCGCGAGCGTAAAAATTTCGTAAACTCCGCCCGCGCGGGTGTGCGTGTGTGCGTGCGCGTGTGCGCTCTGCCTTGGAATGGCACAGGGCTGTTACCCGTTTTTGTATGTGCATCTTCCTGTTTTGAGTGTTTTTATTTATTTTCCTCTCCCGTATCCCTTTCCATACTTGGCGGCGTGCTAGCAGGACCACCTGCGGGTCTCAACCTTTCTGCCTAGCTTCGCACGCTGCCGAGTGGGTATCGCAATATGTGCAAATAAAAAGTATTATTATTATTATTATTATTATTATTATTGCCTTTGTCGCGAGGTCCGTGGCGAAAACTACAGTCGTACAGTGACGAAAACAGTGGAGACAATTCAAACGCTCCTTGCAACTAGTGGACACGGCCGTTCATCGGTTGTTGCCTTCTGGACGCAGCGCGAGACGCGACGCCTGGACGCAAAATATCTGGCTCCTCCAGATACGCCGGAATGCGCCTAAAAACGCTGCGTTTCGTCCCGGCGCCGGAAGTGACGTCAAAGCGCAGGCGCAGACGCGACGCAGACGCGGAGAAAAACGCGCCATGTGGGCTAGCCTTTACGTATTCCCCGCTGCGTATGCGCGCGTTCGCCATGCGCCAATCGAAGAACGCAATCTAGGGATCCGCGCACGGGCAGTGTGAAACAACAACGTTAACGCAAACACACAGTGCATGCGTTCGCTGGTATGCGCAATACTAAAACTCAGTACTGTTACACCGGTTTTCCAACGCCAACGAAACGTGCTGCAGTGAGCAGACGTGCAAGCGGGTAGGCATTCCTTCGAATTGGGAAGGCTGAGATTGGCAAAACAACGGTGCGTAAAAATTAAAGAAAATAAATGTTCTGAAAAGCTTTGTAATTTAAAAAAAAAAAAAATAAACGGAATTCCTCTTTTGTATTTATCTGCATTTGGTCCAAAAGGATTGGCGGCGAATTTGGAAGTTTTTCCGGTTGTCAAAAGTCGCGGCTTTGATAGCACCATATGCTTTACTCACAATTATTGCCATTTTACGCGGATTTGTCAGAATAGCTAGATTGTTTTCATTAAATTTAGACTATTTTTTTTTTAACTTGATCTGAGACAACCCAGAAAAGAGCGCGGCTCCTGTTTCCAAGCAGAAAATGCAAGTTCGCTCTAATACCAAAAGGATGTGGAAAATGCAGCGCGCATTACAAACCACAGAAATGTCCAGTATGCGGCATAACATGCCACGTATGTAGTAAAAAGAATCACTTTTCGGCTTGTTTCAAATCCAAGAAGACAGTTGACGGAGTGTATAACCGAGACGATTTTTCAGTTTTGGAGATCGGAAATAGCAGTGCTGACTGGATTATACCAGCGACCGTTTCTGGGCAGAGAAGTTCAACTGAGAGCAGGTTCCCAAGCCAACCTGCTACCGTTATCCACTTTCAAGAAACTAAAAGGAACAAGTGTGCCAAAACCGTCGAAGGCTGAACTGAGGTGCTACAACGGAGGGGGGAGTCATCGGACACATTGCAATAGCAGAACTGCGAGTCAACGCCAATGGGACAAAAGCCATGCTAGACTTTTTCATCGTCAAGGAAACATGTCAGGCGCTTCTCGGGCTTGGAGCATGTGAGTCATTTGGGCTAACCAACCATGTCAACGCCGTGACAGGTGCCAGTGACCATGCAAAAAGGATCGTAGAAAA